CCTTACCCCTACGAAGTCCCGTGCAGATATCGGCCCCTCAACCTCTATGAGACCACATGCATGGAACCTGCAACAACCTGGACAGGAGTGACTCAATGCAGAAAAAGATGACAAACTCTCAACACAGACTCGACTGCAACAAGTACCAAGGTGAGTGTGCAACATCCACAGAGCATAAAAGGACAAGGGTCGGGGCTTAATAATATTAAACAGCTCCTCGCTCCGCACTCCAAGCTTGGTCAACGATCAACTCAGTCAACTTTGTCGGTCAACGCTCGTCGATCAAAGCTCATCGGTCAACGCTCGCCCGTCAACGCTCGCCGGTCAACGCTCGTCGGTCAATGCTTGCCGGTCAACGTTTGCGGGTCAACGCTCGCCGGTCAACTGTTCGCCGCTCAACTCTCAACAACTTCGCCTTCTTCTTCGTCCTCGAGCTCGGCTATGGCCGACTTCTTATTCTTCTTGGTCGGCCATGTCTGCTCTCACCTTCTTCTTCATCACCTCTCCCTTCTCTCCTGTCACTTTCTTCTTCGTCGTCTTTCTTCCTCTTCTCCAAGCTCGCAGTTATGGTTGCCGTCTGCTATGGGCAGACAACGGGAACCAGCTCTGATACCAATGCAATCAGACTTGACTTCAACTTCACTTTCAACATGCACATGTAGGTGTCGATGGCAGAACCAGCTCCGATACCAATGCAATCAGACTTGACTTCAACTTCACTTTCAACATGCACATGCACGTGCCGATGGCAGAACAACTTCCTCGAAGTAGGATCAGGAACAAGAGTGAGATGGCGCCATGGCCCTCAGCCAGGGACTCAGCTCAAATCAACTTGTTACATCTTGTGGATATGGCGTCTGAACGCCAGTCTGAAATTCCCACCTGCACATTGTATCCACCATCAGACTCTCCACTCACTCGCACACACGTACACACGCACTAAGATCTACCTTGAATGTCCGCGCACACACACACACACATCCTATCTGCTACACTACCGGCTATGGCTGTCGTCGTCTCCCTCCTACCAACGCCTATGGCCACTCGCCCTCTTCCACCTTCGGGTACTGGCTGACCACATGCGAACTTCAACTCACAAGTCACTTGGGCAGCACTTCCACGTAGTCCACCAGATAATGAGTGACCGACTAATCACTGCCTCTTTATTTATACTGTTTCGTTTGGTGGTTTGGGCCTGCCGATGTCCCAGGCCCTCAGGATGTGCAATCCCACTCTGGTACTTGCTGCAAAAATGGACTGGACTGGGACTGCCCCTTCGTTTGCCCCTTCAATGTCCGACTTGGGACTCTTGGCCTTTCAGAAATCGACGGGCTGCCTTCTGGCACTTCGAAAGGTCCAATTGACTCTTCGGGAACTGTCTAGACTACAGTTGACTGACCTTTCGAGAGACGTAACTAGACCTACGGCCTGACCATAAGACTGCTAATACACGGGTCTATGGCTCAAACCCACACGACCCAAACTACCCACACACACATTTGTACATGGTTTTTAGGGACAGGTCACGGGTCCAAAACATGCAGGGTCAACGGCCGTCTGTACAAGGGTAGGGCAGGTCTAGGGATCGATCCTAGAATCTGCAATACTGTGCGAACTGGGTGAAACCCTTTCAGGCCAGTGAATTCAATGAAAGAGAAAACCTGTAGCAAACAAACTGTGTTACGATCCTGGTCATTTCGGAAGTGCAAATTCACAAGGAAAGACAATGCCACCCAATTGCGAAAGAAATGAAAGCACTTGCAAAGACATAGAGACCAAAGAAGAGAGAAAGACGACGACAAAGAAGAAGAAGAACAAGAACAAGAAGATGTACACCAGCAAGGCCAATGACAAATCCCCCCCTTCGCTTTCCACCTTCCTCCTCCTCCTTGACTTCGCCAATCTGATTCTTCTTCCCAATAATAATAATAACAATGAGTGGATGAACCAAAATCAATATCTGAAGTTTCCTCTTACTGCCAGCACAACAACAGGTCCACCATGGCCATGGCTTCCCCCTTCTTCCTCCTCTCACATGCCAAGGCTATGGGGGACTACTAAGGGCTCTGCCCTCCTGTCCAAAGGACAACCCAAAGCAGCTATGTTGCTGCTCATCAGGCCGCCATGCCTGACTCTGCCTGAAGCTTCCTTGGCTTGGCACTACCCCAACTGGGGCCTTCCAGATGCAAAGCCTAACAAGGTGATGAAGATGGTGTCCACCATAGCTGGTTAGGTACCTCGCCACTCTCCTCCTTCGCCCCCTTCTTACCCCTCCTCAGGCTGGGCTGTTCGCCATAGCCAGGCTGAGTGCCTAGTTGTTCTCCTCCTCCAAGCAGCACTCCAACTCCAGCGCTTGGCTCCAGCAGTATGTCGCCAATCCTTGCACACCGCAAATGAGAAGGAGCTACTTGCTCCTCCCGGAGATATAGCGGCCTACTTGCCTCTTGGGCGGTGACTTCCTAGGCCGTGTGGCCTCCCAGCAACCGGTACCTCCTCCCTTTCGGAGGGAAACATCATTGCAGGCTCTGATGTCGTCCATACAGGCCCTAGACTCAGGCTACTTGGACTGGTACCGGCCTACCTCTAGCCTACCGCCACTGGGCCTCTAAAAATGCCAACTTTTTGTCTTCTTCTCCTCGGCCTCGAGTGCCCGACAGTTCCACCACAACTTGAGTGGTACAGGCCTACCTGCTACTTGAGTGGTACCGGCCTACCTGCTACTTGAGTGTTTTTCCCACTGCTCTAAGTGTCGTGGGCCTACCCCCCACACTTGAGTGTTTTTCCCCGCTGCAACCCTCAAAGTCACGGCAACGGATAAGTACCGGCCCTGCGGGGCCTACCAATCAACAAGTACCCTTGCGAGTCACACACACACTCATGCCGACAAGCACTAAGACAGGCGCGCAGACCAGCAGGCACACACACACACACACGAACTTAGAAATCACAGCAGAATGCACGAATCTCTGCAAGGCATACATTCCAACGGCAAATCCCAGAAATCAGCAGCGTTCTCAGTCTGTGTTTTGGCGGGTCATTACACTAGCCCCCTCTCAAGAGCTAGGTTCCTTCGAGCAAATAACTCATTCAGAGTAGGCACAAAATGCGTCGTAGGCGTAGATAAGAAAGAGAGTTTCGGTATAACCGTGAGGAATAAGTGTTGCAGAAAACTTAGCAGTTTGTCCATCGGCGATCTGTCATTCATAAGCTTTAACCACACGGGGAACGTTCTTTAGCAGCTCTTTTCGGTCGATCCAGTAGAGCTCGTATTGCAGATGATTCAGTGTCATGCCAATTGTGGAGTGAATCGAGTTGTTATACAACCCCTTCACTTTGTGTAACTCCTTGTCCCACGTGTTCTGATCGGGAACAATTAATGCGAAGTAGTTGAATGACAGTCTGGTTGATTTCCTCGGCCAACCCATTGGCTTCGGGGTATCGACCAGAAGTCATGTTGAGTTTAATGTCGTAGATTTGAGAGGTGAAGCCCTTCCAATCAGTACTAATGAACCTGGTGTCCCGATCACTCACAAGAGTTTTCGGGGGGGCATACTGCAGAATGTACTGCTGGTGAAATTCTTCGATCACAAGCTCAGTTGGTGCATGAGGAGGTAAAGGAAATAAATTCGAAAATTTGGAAAAACCATCCACGATGACCATGACTTGTGAATGTCGCCCCTCACTCACCTTTCCCATGCCCATGAAATCGATAGAAACTGACTCACCGGGCCCATCAGGAATGGGGAGGGGTTTCAGCAGGCCATAAGGCTTATGCCTATGGACCTTGGTTCTTTGACAGACTTGACAATCAACAATAAACTTCTGAGCAGATCCCTTGATTCCCGACCAATCAAACTGTTGCAAGAGACTTCCGTAAGTCTTCTCGAAGTCGAAGTGTCCACTCCGACCATGTGCCAGATCCAAGAAATGAGTCCGGAGAGGCGCATGGTTGGATATACACAAACGATCAAACTTCCCATAGCGTCAGAATACAAGACCCTCGCACTCGTGAAAATCAGGCTGGTTGCCAGGGTCATCCTTGATCTGCTCAAGGATGGAACTAAGGTCTGGAATCCTTGGTAGTGTGCTCGACCAGATCCTCCTTCGGTTTCCTTCAGAGATCGTATGAGCCCACGAGGCAAGTGAAAAACTCAGGATGTCGAGACAAAGTATCAACAACACGATTATAACAGCCTTTCTTGTGTTCTAGTTCAAAATTGTAAATATCAACGCAAGGTCTGATGATGTGAGTAAACCTTGAAGTGACGACCCAACAGGTAGTGCTTCTAATGCGAGAGCACCTCTCGCAAGACATAGAGCTCACACATATATGTGGAGGCAGCTACCTTGTGACTGGGCATGCGTTTGCTGTAATATTCGAGCAGACGCAGGCCATCGTTATCATCTTGTTCCAGCACTGAGTCAATCCCATACTGGCTCGCATCCGTAACGACCATGAACGTGAGGTTGGGATCCGCAATGTGGAGCACAGTATGACTTACCAAAGCCTTTTTCAAGGCTTGAAACACAGTCTCGCATTTCTCACACCGCGCATAAGTGTCATTTTTGCTAGTTAGTCTCGAGAGTGGGTGAGCAATGACAAAAAAAAATTGGGTACAAACTTCCAGTAATACGAAGCCAAACCAAAAAAGGAATGCAGTTCGCGTGCATTCGCCAGTTGAGGCCACTTTCGTATGACCTCGACCTTGGTTGCCTCAGGCTCAAGGCCGTTTGCAAACAACCGGTGCCCAACATAGATGGCGTTGTCCCTTCCAAACTCAAATTTCTCTACGTTGAGGTGCAACTTCACCTCCTTGAGAACCTGCAAGACTTCCTCAAGGTGCTTGACATGCTCTTCCATGCACTTGTTGAAAATCAGGATGTCATCGAGGTAAACGACAGCAAACACATTGAGCTGATGGCGAAAAACCTTGTCCATGAGGCACTAAAATGTGGCTGGTGCATTCGTGAGACCGAAGGGCATAACGATAAATTCGTACAACCCATCGCGTGTCTTGAACGCAGATTTGTGCTGGTCAATCGGATCAACTTCAATCTGGTGGTAGCCAAACTTGAGGTCGATCTTGGAGAAGACCTTGCACCCACCTGCAGCATCCAACAAACCATCTATGTGTGGCAAGGGATAAGTGTTCTTTCTAGTGATGCCATTTAGGCCACGATAGTCGATACACATTCGGAGTTTGCCTCATTGCTTTGACACAAATAGGACACGTGCACTGAACTCAGACTCACTAAGCCTAATCCATCCACGATCAATCATGTCGTCGATCTGCCTTCTCAACTCCTCCAACTCGCCTTGCCCCATATGGTAGACGCAACCCTTCGGAGGAACACTCCTTTCTATTATCTCGATCTTGTGTTTGACCAAACACTCGGGGACTCCACGAGGTTCATCGATAACTTCAGGAAATCGATCTAATAGACAACGAATGTTTGTTGGGACTTCCGGTGGAGGATCATCCTCATCAGGAGAGAGAAAATCAGTTTGAGAATTTATAGCAATAACAACCGAATTTGAAGTAGTTGGATTAGAAGTAGACGTATCTCTTACAATAGAAGTAGATGTAGTAGAAGTAGAGTTATCTTCCGAGCTAGAAAATGCAGCAATAGTAGAAGGCACATGGAGAGGCTTTCCAAGGGCTACATGCACATGCTCACCTTCTTTACGCGTGCACACTGATCAACAAAATTTGCTCGCACTTAAAAGAGTCACAGGGGATTCGCGCGTCTCATCCAACAAGATAGTATGCTCGTTCCCCTTGGCGTCGCGCACCACGAATTGCGTATCCGCCCATGTGGTCTTTCGACAATGGGCTTTTAACCAGCCCAAACCAATAACCCCGTCGAAGGGACACTTGTCGAGGACATAGAAATTCAACTCGTGTGTGACAATGCGATCTTTGTCAAAGGTCACGGGCACACCTTTGACAGCATGTGTTGAGGTGACATATTTCTTGGTTCCCTACCTGGGTCTGAAAGGGGTTCTGCAATTCCACTTGCTTCATTCCCAGGCCCGCCTTACGAATCCCGTCAGGAGAAAAAAAGCTGGTTGTGGAACCGTTATCAATCACAAGTGGACCCGTGGAGGGGAAGCAAAGGCGGAGGCAGGAGTGAGAAATGTTGAGTGCAAAAGAAAAGAAAAAAAAACAACAACAAAGAACATACATGTCTCTCTCTTTTTCTCTCCTGGTTTCCCTCTCTCTCTTCCTTTATGTATGAGAGAGAGAGAGAGAGAGAGAGAGAGAGAGAGAGAGAGAGAGAGAGAGAGAGAGAGAGAGTCTCTCACATTCATCCGACAGATATAACGTGCATGGTCAGAGGGCACGAGGGAGAGAGAGGGAGACAGAGAGAGGGTGTCGGGAGGTAGGGGGGGGAAAAAATAAAACAGATAGCGGCAAGAGAGAGAAATAG